AATACAGCCTCTAGAGGTGGCCTCCCAAAATTCATCAGAACATTTAACAGCAAAGGTGTGGCAGGTAGGAAACAGGAGGTGCTACAGAGGCTGGAGAACACAGCAGGCAGGTCTGACCACTATGCATGTCAGACTTTGGGGTTGGAGCCCCAAGTTTATTACAGTGGCCAAGAGCGCCAGGGACCTGTTGCAAACAGCCAGCTGGAGACCCCTCGGAGAAGAAGTGATGGCAAAGCCAGCATCTCCCACCTCCCTTCTGGCTTTGGTGTAGAAGATGTGTTTGAGGCTGGGGAATGCATGGCTCTGAGACACGTCTTGGAGCAGCAGTGCTATGGCTTAAGACTACCTTTGATGCCTTAGTTGGACTGTGCAGGGTGGTGTGCAGCTCAGGATCAGAGACAGTCATGAATGGAACTTCTCCCACTTGGGACTTTTTTTTTAAGCAGTTGAAGCAAGAAGAGCAATAAACCAGTGGCTGCTAACTGAAAAGGCATCTCATCTGTTTTTTTGGCTGACCCAGAATGAGAGTTGCTTATGGCTGCGCATGCGGCTTTCCTAAGCATTCCAGAAAGCTAGTGCCAGTGCATGGCTTCTGCATCTGGGTTGCAGATTCAGCAAACTGATTGTCTTTAATCTCAAAATAAAGAAGATTCCATCCAAACTGATTCTGAATGTGGCTTTGCCTGGTCTGCAATCAGGGTGGATGAGGCTAACCATGAGACATAGGTTTATTGTTTTCTAAGGCAAAGTCTAGCTTCTATATTATTCCATTCCTAGTTCCACTGGGGTTACCCACATTGGGAATTCAAACTGCATGAGAAAAGTTACTAGCAACAACTATAAGCCCTCAACAAAAGCCTAGAGTAAAAAGGTTGCTGTACAACCAAAAGAAGTCCCAGGGTTCTCTGCTCTGCTGATGGAACCTATCCTACGTGGAGACCACACTGAATTTGTTCAAGTTTTGTAAGATCCAGCACTACAATGTGGCAGAGATAACATCTCCTGATACAAAGGTGTCTCCTTAGATGACCTCTGTCCTCTGGGCTGGTGTATGACTTGCCTGCCTTAAATTAGCATTAATGTCAGTACAGGGTGCCTCATCATGGAGAAGGTTACCACAGTGTTGCCAGTCACCCTCTGTATTAAATAACTAGACTTCTGGATGATAAGGATACACTCACAACACCCTGCTTCTGAAGTGTCACTGCTACTGCTATGACCTTCTCTCTGAGCAAAGACAGGTGGTAGAAAGGTAGCTACACAATGTACATTTGGTTTGAACTCACAATGCCATAAGCCTCACAGTGTGGACAGAAGAAGCAACATACAGAGCTCAAACAGAATTGGGGATTTACCATATATCAGATAATCCATGGTAATTTGTGTTCTTGCTGTCTTTTTTGGTTGACAAAGGCTAAACTGGGAATTTTTGCCTCTGAAGGAAATGATTGCAATTGAGAAGACGTTCCTCCTAGAATCTGCCTGTACGCTGCTGTGTTATCCTCCCAACAGATGGCACAGGATCTGAAGTCCTCCTGCAACACCAGGCCCTACATGTTTCTATTAGTTGTTTGAAAAAACCTTCATGCACCTCTTCCTTTCTGGCTTGATGGTTTTTACCAGACACCCACCATGACATCACCCTTGCTGTTCTCCCCTCTTATCTTGACACATGGGCTTTCAACAGGCCTGCCCTTCTACTGCAACTCTGAACAAGTGTATGTCTCTCATATATAGAACAACAACACCTTCCTGAAAAACTTATGCCCAATCTATGGCAGTACTGTAGTCATGAAAACTATCCCTCCAGGTCTCAATTATCCCAAATCAATCATACTTCTGCAATTGTATGAAGAGTTCCACTTCTTCCTGTGTATTCCCCATGCTTCTCACATCAGTGTATAAACATGCTAGGTAACTAACTGCTTGCCCTACTTTTTTTCTAAAGACGTTGTTAAGGTTCCCCATTTCATCTCCTCTTATTTGGTTTTTATCCATATCCCCTGGCACTTTCCTCACCCCTGTACTTTTGTCACCAACCCGCATTGAACCTAGTTTAAACTGTTAGAGGAGATCAGTTTGACACACATAAGTTCCCTTCCACCTTTTAACTTGATATAGTTGTTTTATCGGTTCACATCTTCAAGCTCGAACTGCTGAAACAGTTATTTCACCAAGAGTCCAGAGCTTCCCACCTCACCTTGCCCTGTAAACAATAGCTTCCAGGAATTTCATAATTGTAGATAAGTTCTGCCACCTGGAAGCAAAATCTAGGTTAAACTTCTGTATTCCAGCACATTGATCATCCCTCATTCTGGTTACAACATGGCCTTGGTAAGGATGTAAAACTAAAGCAAAGATTGATAGGACTGCAGTTGCATCAGCAGAATTATCACATTTCATTGTTAAAGTGGTGAGCCCAGGCAGAGTGGAAGCCAGCCGGTTTCCATTAAGATATGTAGGAAAGCTCTTTAATAATGAAGGCAGGAAAACTTTAATGCTGTTTTCATTTGCCAGATGTTTGTAAAATGCAATGAATGTTTATTCCTCCAGCTGTGAGGTGCAGCCTTACTAGTGAGGCAAGCAGCTGACTTTCTGGAACTGCTGTAAAAAAGTGGTTTAGGAGAGCACCCTCTTTCCATAGAAGGCTGCATGCTACTGGAAAATAAATGCAGTAACATTTCAGTAACAAAGGTGATGCTTAGATGAACATCAGTAAACCAGATCAGGCTGCCAACATGCACACTGTGTAGATACAGATAGAGCTCCTGTAAATGCCTTTAAGAAGTAAAATAAAGCTCACAACTTTTGTAAGTACCATGCTTAAGAAACAGCAGTGTTCTTTGCAGAGCTCTAGCTGCTGGGAATACTGCTTGAAACCAATGACAGAGATGGTTAATGCTAAAGACGGCATATTATTAAGCTGTCCTTTGAACACCTCCCCCTGCTCCTCCCGAGCTCTAATATAAGGCCGATCTCAGAAGAGGCCCCGTTGCACAGCCCTAAGTTACAGCTGCCATAGAGAGGACTCCAAACACAAAGTGACTTCTATAAAATATCTTGCCTGTAGGAGTTGGTGAACTGTTACATTTAAAACAAAATAGGCTGCTTTTATTGCTGCTCAGAGTTGCCCCAAATTCTACGCACTAGCTATAGAGGTGCAGCCTCTAGACCAGGAGTCAGCAACTTATGGCCCACAGACCAGATCTGGCCTGCAAAGAGATTAGATCTGGCCCACGAAGGTGTGATCTGGATTACATTTTACTAACAGTGGGCTGATCCCCTGCTGCTGCCCACCTGCTCCTGCTTTGTGTGGAGGACTGCTCACCACAGACACTGAAATTGTTGCTCCAAACTGTGGCTTGCTCTGTTTTGGGGCAGAACATTTTTCAGCAGAGGCTGCATTTGTGGGTGGGAGAATAGCCCTCCGAAAAGAGCAGGGATGGCTTGGATGGCAGTAGGGAATTAGCACCCAGCAACTAGATTGCAGGGGGCAGCCTGCCATTAGTAAAATGTTTTCCCCCCCCAGAAATTTGGGGACTTACTCAGACTCGTGTGCCTGAGTGATCTCAATTTTGCTGCAGCTTCCCAGCTGGAGCACAGCCCCACTGAGCACACTTTGTGGATATTCATAGGCTTGCTCATACAGAGCTGAATTGTAAATTGTGCATAGGTGCCAAAAACCACATTTACATGGCTTTGAATGTGCATTTGAGACACCTGAAAGGAAGTATGATTTAGCCCTTCCATTCTGATCCTACAGCTGGATCCAGACATGTGGGCACGTGTGGTTTGTGGTACCCCAAACCTCTTTATGGTGCCTTCATTTAACCACATTCTTGGCACGTTAAAATGTTCCCTGCGCTGCAAATGTGCAGGATGAGGGCAAAATTTGCTACTGGGAAATCCTGGTAGCAAAAAAAACCCCAAACCCACAAAAAAGCAGTACAGTGCATGCCACAGGAGCATGCACAGGCAGACATGGAGGCTCAGTCCTCCTAGGAGATACTCTGGCTGCTGGCCAGAAATCTTCCTTTGTCTGGTTCCACTCTGACTCCTCCACCATGCTGGGAGCCAGGAGGAGTAAGGAAACAGTAGTTTCCCTGAAGTGGGGCATTTTGTCCCACACCAAAGTGTACACGCAGGGGCATGTGCGGTAGCAAAAAGTAGCGGCACATATTTGTGGTGCTACTTTTTCTGCTGCTGCAAGCTCAAGCCCCTGCATGTGCGGACTCATCCTAGGAAGATATTCTGGTGGCAGATTCCCACCTTCCCTACTGTACCCCACACTAAAGTCAAGTGTAGTCACTAGTATACCAAAATTAATAAGCTCAGCTAGAGCCCTGCCAGGATCATGGGCCCAGTGAGTTGAGGCTTTGAGGGAACAGCCCTGCCAGGGTGAGGGACCCAGTGAGCTAGGGCTAGGGACCCATGGTGTGCCATGGCATGGTCTCTTCTGCTAAGAATCACAGGAATCCGATCATCTGCAGAGCACTGACTGCCACAGTATTTTCTCTACCTTTGCTACTGTACAACAGTACCCACACTGTAGATATGCTTCAACTGCTGAAGTTTTTTTTCTGTTCCTTTGCTTTGATAGAAAGAGAGGAGGATGTAGAAAGGTGGATATAATCCATCTTTTATTCCCCCTTGTTTAGCACCCCAAGAGTGCTGAGGGATGCTCTTTTTTATTGCTCTACCATGGCCCAGGGTAGCACAGTAGCAAATCATAATCCCATTGTAGCGTGCCCTTCAATATACTCCAATATACTGCTATGCCAGAAGGTGGGAAAAGGGTCAGCCATTTCTCAGCTCTGCATCACCAGCTGTAGAGGCCACTTGCATGGGCGGGGGGGTGGGGGGGGGGGAAGGGGAAAGCTGAGAAAATCTCCTTAGAGTAAACATTTTTATTTTCTCAGAAAAGTATAAGAGGGCTTTGGTGTAACTTGGAAGACTTCTCTGCATTTTGCCAAGGGCCTCAGAGATTCACGCAGTCTTACCTTCACACTTGTGACTGGTCTCACTTTGCTTGTGTCCTGCAGGACATTTGCACTCATATGAACCCACAGTGTTGATGCAGTTACCACCTTGACACAGGCCGGGGATAGCCTGACATTCATCCACATCTGCAGAGAGAAGAGCAAGGATGTCAGCAAGCAGAGCCACAAAATAGGAAAGAAGTTTGCTTAGGTCTGACTGAAGAGGGTGAAATACCATTAGAGAACAGGAGCCCTGCCCTGAGAGAAGAGGCATTCAGGCAGTTGGGGTAGAAAGGCAGTCAACAAATGGACATAAGGATACTGCTTACCTGTAAAACTGAACAACGGGGTATAAGTCTGACATAGGGTACAGTTATTCTGCTTTCTAAAGTCAACATCTTTTCCCATCTGCATTTAACCCTCCTAGTTGTGACACTAGTGCCACAAGGGCTAAGGGCTTATAGCACAAGACACAAACTGCATCTTCCAATAAGAAGGGCTCAGGATCATGAAATTGTACATTCTGAATCCCCAGGTTACATTAGCCATCAGACCCTCATGCTGCAGATGAGTCTTTATCTGACCTCCTTTCTGCATTTCTGCACAGCACTCATGAGCAGACCTGAGAATTGAGCTGTAATTCTGGTTCCTCGTGTGCATCATGGAATCGTAGAAAAGCAGGACTGGAAGGGACCTCTAACTCTCATCCAAAGGTAGAATCATCCCTATCCAAACCCATTCACATCCTTGTGTAAGCTGTTACTAAAACTACACAGTCAACATGGTCACACAACCACAAGGCGCAGCACCCTAACTTGCCACAAATGAAGTAGGCAGACAACAGTGGTCAGTCTCCTGCTTCTGAAAGGGTTGTTAAAACTTGCTCAAGTGATCCAAGGAAGAGGGCCATGGCCCCCACTATAGAGGAAGGCAAAACCCCCAACAGGGCACACCAATCTGAACATGGCACAAAATTCCTTCCTGACCCCAAATGTGGTGATCAGTTTGACCCTGAGCAGACAGGCGCCCGGGGCCCCCTAGCCAGGAACCTCTGGGTTTTAGTCCCAGCAGAAGAGTTGGCACGCCCCAGTCAAAATCCCCAGCCATGGCTGTAGCCAACACCCATTGCTTCTAAGGAAAGTAAAAAAACAGAAGAACCCTCTGACATATATAGCAACAGGAGAAGTGGGAAAAAATCTTTCCTAGTTCCATTTGGCAACCAGCAAAGCCCATACCTCGAGGTGCCAGCGAGGCTTGTGATCACTGCGATGCTGGGGCGCACGGAGTATCCCACAGGAATGCAGGGGGGGGTCATCCACATGTTCGGCGGCGAACCCGGAAGCAGGCTAGAAATACTTCCAATCCACTTCTGGGTCTGCTGGGGAGTGCGCAGGGGGCCCTCCCCCCCGCACCCCACCAGCTCAGCAATCAGCCGCAGGGGGACCCTGGGTGCCCCCCAGACCCAGGAGGCACCACTTGCCAAGCTCAGGGGGGTATGGGGGGGGGGCACGCTCCCTGGTGGACCCTGGTGGACCCAGAGGTGGACTGGAAGTGCTTCTTGTCCACTTCTGGGCTTTGAATGAGCTCCCCGTGCTTCTGTGGGATAATCTATGCACTCCAGCATCATAGAACTCGTGAACCCCTGCTACCTAGAGGTATGTAGAAAAAACAGTTAAAGCTGTCTCTATGTCCAAATCTCTGCATCTTTCTGAAACTCTGAATTGATTCGGAGAGATTAAAGGGTCCTTTGACTCGATTAGGAGATTCGGCCACCAAATCGGGCCGAATCTTTGCTGAATGAAATCAGGGATGGAAGCTTCACACAGCCCTCCTGGCTATTTAAAAGTGGACCCATGGTTTCCTTGGTCTTCCATTTCTGGCCAACACATTTATACACACACACACACACACATATAAATAACACTTTCTTTTTGTTGTCCTTCACTTCCCTGACCAGATTAAGTGTTTTTCTTCACCTATGCCCCCCTGCTTTTGTCCCTGCAAGTTCTTCCTATTTCCTAGTACACTTCCTTGGTGACCAGCCCATTTTGACATTGCCTGCACCCTTTTCCTTTTGCATTTGAGGCATCCTAGAAGCTCCCTGAGCAGCCACATTTGGTCTCTTGTCATTCTTCTTTTTGCTTCCATCATGTTGAAACAGATTCTTGTTGGGCTTCCAGTACCATGCCCTTTAGGAGCTTCCAGACCTCTGGGGCACTCTTATCCACCAATCTGACATCCCATGTTGCCATCCTTAACATAGATTCATAGATGCTAGGGTCAGAAGGGACCTCAACAGATCACTGAGTCCGACCCCCTGCCTAGGTAGG